AGTAAATATATATGCTAATTGATCATTAGAGGGTACAAAATTGGTCATAATTTCACCTGCAAGGACCTTCTCTCGAACAAAGTGACATTCTATCTCGATATGCATGGTTATTTCATGAAACACTGGAATGGAAGAAATATGTAGTGTTGCTTGATTATCACAAATGAGAGTCGTTGGTCCAATGTCTCCAAACTTGAGCTCTCTAAGAAGTTGCTTAAGCCAAATGAGCTCACAAGTAAAAGAAGCCATAGAGCGATACTCTATTTCAGCACTTGATCTGGAAACTACATTCTGCTTCTTACTTTTTCAGGTAACCAAGTTGATTGTAACGAAGACACAATATCCATTAGTAGATTTTCTATCAGTAGGACAACCAGCACAATCGGCATCAAAGTATCTGACAACTTTAACATGGCCTTTATCTTCCTTCATATTTAAGGCATTTTCCTCGAGATGCCTTAATATAATTGAGAATACAAATGACAGTATTCCAGTGTTTATGACATGGAGAGTTAAGAAGCTGACTTACCACACTAGCTACAAATGAAATGTCAGGCCAAGTGACTGTGAGGTAGTTCAGTTTTTCAACCAAACTTATATACCTTTCAAGATTTGAAAAGGGCTCCCCTGATTCAGTAGAAGCTTGACATTTTGATCCATATGGGTATCAATAGACTTGAAATTTAACAAAGCAGTCTCTTCAAAAATATCCAGAACATGTTTTCTCTGAGATATCACAATTTCATCTTTAGATTAGGCCACCTTGATTCCCAAGAGTATCGAAGTTTTCCAAGATCCTTGGTATGAAAATAATGATATAAATGTTACTTCAACCGAGTAATCCCATTTTAATCAAGCGTGGCTTAATACAATGGCATATTAACAAACCGGGTATACACAGGGTGTTACAGTAATCACCTCCCTCGAACTCTGATCCTACAAAATGACATAAGTGTCGTAAAGGAAACCATATAATTAAGGGATTTTCGTCAAACGGCTAATGGAAGGTAAGTTAAAATAGAAATCAGGAACATAAAGAATATGATCCAGAGATAAAGTGGGGAAGAAAAGAACCGTGTCGATCCCACAGGATTAGACCAAAGACCCATTGGCCATAGTAATAGTAGGAAATGAATAATAGTACAAAGAAAGGTGAATAAAGACTTATTACCAGAAGTGTGATCAGAATCAAGAGTCCAAGGGCCTAGAGATTGTAACTAAGAGATCCCAACAACAGAATTACCAGATGGAGTAATGGCAATAGTAGACCCAGATGCTTGCTTCTTAGACCACCAAATCACAAATTATTAAGGAAAGATGCAGGAGGTTGTGGTGCAGAAGGCAACCCTCGATCAGGAGCAATAGAAAGAGCCTGAGCAACATGAGCAGTCTGAAGAGGCTGAGGTGGCTTTCCATGGAGCTTTCCAACAGCGGTAGATAGTATGATTTTTCTGATGATAATGAGTACAGAATAACCGACCCTTAGGGGTTTACATCAACGACTAGTTGGAGACGCAGAAACAGATGAGATAGGAGTAGAATCTATAATCACCAAAAAAAGGAGACCAAAAAATCAGAAACTACAGATAAAAACTAATCGGAAGTAGTGGGATCTCTGTGTCACCAATAACGAAGTCGAAACACTAAAACAAGACCAGATTCAAAACTGTTTCAGAGAAGGGAGAAAAACCCAACTGATCACTTCCGGAAAGGGCCTCCACGCACCGGCCAACTGAAGGGAGGGGTGTAACTTCCACGCGCGCATGAAGGCACGTGGTTGATTGAATGGGGACACGACCTAGATAGAGAGAACACTATGCCGAGATGAGTAGAACAGTAGGTGGTTCGCCGAGAAAAACCAACAAACGTCGATGGTCAACGACGGAGGAACAACAGTCAACAGGTTTTTGACAGCGGTTCGCGAGGAGAAAGGTCCGGCAACAACATAAAGACAACCCAAGAACAAAAAAGACATTCAAAAACTGACAAAGAGACAATATTTGAAAAAAAAATTGAAAAGGCAATGAACAATGGGTTCACCGAAGAAAATAAGCGGATTAAAGTTTCTCTCGCTAGGCTCTAGATACCATATAAAATAACAAGAGACGAAAGGAACATTGAAATACATCTGTATATAATAGCATAATTGAAATTGTGTTATATATAGAACTACTAAGTATATACAACCTAAAATACATGATGTACTTTTATTATATAAACAACACAAAGGTTATCATTCATCAAGAAAAGTCAATAGAAACCTACCTGAAAGTCTTTCTTCACGATTGATAATTGATAGTGCTTTCAACAAGTCAATACGGTCACGAGTGGTATCGCATACATTATCATAGTATAGTAAAGTTTTATATATTTATTTTCATTATTGAAAAAAAACTAAAAATAAATTAAAGGTATAAAACAACCCACATGGAAGTTATAAATTATCTGTAGAATCCACGTCAGCACAAAAATTAAATGGTGTGTAGGAAGATTTCAATTCTCATGTTGAATGAGAATTATAACACCCATATATAAAATTAGAGTAAATACTTTTTTTAGTCCCTAACAAAAAACACGGTTCCCACTTTAGTCCCTTACAAAAATAAATTAGTCAGTTAGTCCCTAACAAATTCAAAGTGGACCCATTTAGTTGAAATCGTGGTCCCTCACAAATTCAAAAAAGACCCATATTAGTCCCTCAAAAGGACTAAAATGGGTCCACCTTGAATTTGTTAGGGACTAACTGACTAATTTATTTTTGTAAGGGACTAAAGTGGGGACCGTGTTTTTTGTTAGGGATCAAAAATGGTCTTTACTCATAAAATTAATATTTTTCTTTTAAGAATAAAATAAATTTATTTTCTGCGCATGCATAAAAGTGGATGAGGTTATATGATGAGAGAAACATTAAATCTATATATAGATAAATAGAAAAATATTTATATAAAAAATCCAAAAACCTCTACGTAGGTTTATTTTTCTTTCATTTGTAGAAGTGGTAGTTGCATTATTGCAGATCTTGAATACATTACTTGATTACAAGGTGTGGGAATCACATTGTAGTACAAGCTCACAATGGGACAAGGAACTGCATGTACCTACATGTCACCGTAGGGTATATGCTATATCTCACAAAGGAAGAGAAAAGAATAACAGAGAGAGAGATGCATGGTCATATGGTCATCTCCTTCAATTCTTAATTCCTTTACACTTCTCAGTTCCCAATAACAAAGTTAGGGTTGGTCCTGGTCTTGGTCTGGTAAGAGTTTGGAAGTGAGTGCTATAAAGAAAAAAATAATAGAGAAAGAAACATAGCATATTTCTCAAAATAAAAAAACCACTGATTGTGTTAAATTCTCTATATCTACATGAATTCTTAATCCATGCACTTAAATCAACATTTAATTAGTAACCCAAAAAAAATTCAACATTTAATATATATAACAGAAATTTCTTAAGAATATGTACTTATAACAAAAAAATTTCCTTGATTGTGGTATCTTAAAAAAGAGTAATGTTATGTTACATATTATATTACATTACCTTTATATTTTAAGATGATAGAAAGTCACATATTTCAATATACTTTTTTTATTTTATTTTCAGATTAAAAAAAAGTATAAAGGGAAGTGCTCTCAGTGTACTTAATTCCTTACAATGTGACAGTTTTATGCTTCAGGGATCCACTTTTCTCGGTTCTTCATCTTCATATCCAACAAAGTTTTTCTAGCTTTTCTTGCCAAGACCTCAAACACTTACACAACTTCTCTCTCTCTCTCTCTCTCTCTTTCTCTGAGGCCACTGTTTATTATGTCATTTTCATTCTGATTTCATAACTTGTTTGACAACCCTTTTTCCATATCATTTTTGTTGTTTGTAAAGTTGAGCAAAGGCTTAAACTTACCAATTATGGGTAAGGAATGGTATTGGACTGGGAAATCTTCCAAGAGAGGTGGAGCTGAAGGAGTAGCTGAAACACCTTCTGGTTGCATGTGTGCTGTTTTTCACTTCTTTGATTTTCATCCATTTCACTTTCCCACCATAAACCAACACCAACAGCAAACCTCTTTCAACTCAACCTCTTGCATCCCAGAAGACTTTACTACAAATGTCCCCAAAGGTATTGTTGTTTCTATTAGTCTCTGCCTCTCTCTTTTTTGTCTCAGTTTTGGTTTAGTATTTTTCTTTTTCTTTTAATAATTCAGGTTCTGAAGCACCTAGGAATAGTTTGGAATCAGAGGATGGTACAACTTCATCTTTCTCAAAAGAAGAAAATTTTAAAATCCCAGTAAGTTTATTAATTAACCTGCCACACTTTTTCACCAATTTTTAGGAGTTTCTTGTTTATTCTGTAAAGTGAGTAATGATAACACTATAGTGATGTTTTTGACCACACTATCCAGAAGAATATACAAGTTAAGACAAGTCAAAGCACAAGAACAGGTGCTGGAAATTTGAATGACTTGTCCTCAGAAATCAGCTACTCTCCTGGGACAAAGACACCAACTTTGGTTGCAAGATTTATGGGTCTAGATCTCCTACCACACTCACCCTCTTCTTCATGTCTTTCTACTCCAAACCCACAAGGGAATAATCCACATCTACACAACCTTAGACCCAAGCAACACATCCAAACCAAACATAGAAACAGCACAGACAGTGACATTGTATCCACTCGTTCCTTGCCTGAGACTCCTAGAATATCCTCCTCAAGAAGATCAGATGTTGATCATCATAGACTATCTCTTCAAATCAACAAGGAGAACATGAACATTGGTGAGGACTTGGAGCTACCTCGGTTTTCATTTTCAAAAAGGAAATGTGATTAGAACAATAGTAGGAGTCCAAGCCATTATGCTAGGCAAATTGTTAAACAGGTTAAGGAAAGTGTGAGCAGAAAAGTTGGGCAAGACATCACCAACACACTAAAAAACAGAGAACAAGCTAGGGATTAAGAATTGGTTGGCCAATTCAGAATCAAGAATTCTCCCAAGACATCAATGTCAAACCCATCATCATCCTATTCCCCAAGGCTTAGATTCATTGACACAAAGCACAAGCCAAGCACAATAACACCATCACCTCTCATCCAAAAAGATCAAAACACACACCAATCTGTTCTGAAACTACCACCACCTCCACCTCCAATTAACACTCAACCACAGCTTCCAAGAGTTTTAACAAAGCCAAAGCCTCAAGCATTGTTAGAGAAGCAAGAGAACCAAAAATCAGTCCCAAAATGTAAGAAGGTCAGTAATGAAAAGTTCGGCTCAAGGCTCAAAAGGCCACCACAGACATCAGACATTATCAGAAACAAGCAAGAAGAGTCTTTCATCATTCGCCCAACCTCACCCTCTGACATTCAAACCACCAAAATCAAGAAAATTCACCCATTTTCAACAAATCTTCTAAATAATATCAACATTGTCCCAAATCTTCTCCCTGTCAAGACAGTCCCTTCTCCTCCAGCCACCAAAATTCCTCTCAAACAGGTACCTCCATAATTGAACTTTCAACTATTTCAATCTTTAACTTTCTTATTTTTTTACATTTATTAAATTCCATCCATTTTCAACAAGTTTTTCACTATCATAGCAATTCAAAACGTCAATTTTTCCTTCTTTTGTTTTAACCATTTTGATTTTGAATTTTGTGTGTGTGTGTGTGTGTGTGAATTACCAAAACATAAACAAAAACAGTCACAGTTATCTAGTTGTTCGCGCCAGAGGTACAAACAAGAAGGAACAAGCACATTGGCCACCCCAGAAACTAGCAACAATGAAGACAAACTCAATGGTGAATCCACCACCGGAGTTGAAGATCATAGACCAGAATTTGAGTACATCACAGGAATCCTAAACAATGAAGGTACCATCAACACCACAACCACAACAACAGTGTCCTTTAATCCATGGTTTTCTCCAACTCATCCACTTGACCCATCAATCTTTCACAAGCTTGAACAACTCCCCAACAACAAAGATTGCATCTTTACATCAAGAAACCAATTGGGTCAACGTTGGAATCGAAGGTTACTGTTTAATTTGGTGGATGAGGTTTTAATTGAGATTCTGAGGCCAAAAAGCAATGAAAAAAGGCTTTGGCTTTTGCATGATGTGTATTGCTACCAAGGGAGCATTGAAGGGTTGATAGAGAAGGTGTGGAAGAGGGTTGGGAAGTTTCCATGCGCAAAGTGTGAGGTGTTGGAAGACATTGATGGCTTGATTGAAGCAGAAGACATGGAGAAAGTGAAGGTTGAAGGTGAAGATGGGATGGTGGAAGAAAGAGAAGGGTTGGTGGCAAAGATTGAATGGAACATATGGGACACGTTATTGCATGAAACAGTTATGGTTATCAACTGTTGTTGTTGAAGTGGGAAGTAGGGTCCACGTCCACGCCTAAACGACGGCGTCGTTTTATAGGTTGAGGGGTGTCACGTGACCAGGTGGTGGTGATTGTTAGTGGGGTCAACAAGCCTTGGGGATTGGGGGTTTGAACCCCTTCGATTGTAGGGTCACACTCGACAAGACTCCCGATTGATTGGTTATTAAAAGACAAGATTTGACAGAGGAATCCACAACCTACTTGTTCCCATTTCCTCTCTTTCTCTCTCTCTCCTCTTCAATTCAAGTTCAGTACATACTAATATATAATTTTTTAAAAGTTTCTTTCTCTCCTCTTCAATTCAAGTTCAGTATATACTAATATATAATTTTTTAAAAGTTTCTTTTGTTGTTTTTCTATTAGTTTATGAGTTGAGTTTTGGACTCTTACATAATAGATTTAAGACATTAAAATAATTAATTTACTTAATTATATATTTATTAAACACCTATTTAACTGACTTAACTACTCAAAGAAATAATACGATTAAGTAGATGAACATATATCACATCACAAGAAGTTAGAATACCAAAGAATTTGATGAAAAATTCAAATGTTTTTGCACACTTTGTTATTAAAAAGAATGTATGACGTGAAAAGGTAAGACCAGAACTGAACTTTTCTATTCCTATTCATGTAAACTTAATTTATTAAGCATATAACTGTCGCAACCGTATCGCGACGTGACGGCGAAAGATATTGAATAGTTAAAATGATGGAGTCGCCACCAAGGTTTATTTAGGAAAACATTGGAAAAACCTTTTATTAAAGACAAATGGTCTTTGGCAGTAGAAATGAGTTCGGGAGTCGATTACGAGTAGAGAAGGTATTAGCACCCTACACCGTCCATTAAAAACGGTTACCTTATATTAATTGTGCAAATTATTGATAATATTTTAAATATTTATTTCACCCTAAATAAATAAAATTGATCGTTGGAAAAGAAAACTAATTTTGAAATTTTATTTTTGTGCTTGACGGGAAGAATCCCGCTCCGACGTATCCCTCGGTACAATAGGGAACTCAAAGCTACGTCGTTCTGTAGAAAATATTTGTGTGTTGATTGATTTTAATTTTGAAAGTAGTTTTAAAGAAAATAATTTGAAGGTTTTGGATTTGATGGTTTCGGAATATCAAACTGTCGCAGTTAAAATAATCCGAAATGATAATTGCAGGATTAACAAGCTGTCTCAACTCAGCTAATCCTTTCTTTTAAAAGAATAATAATATTTATATTATTATTTTTGTTTATCGTAAATTTTATGATAAATTTGATTTAATTTTGAATCATCAAGCCGTCTCGACAAAAATGAGTCATAACAAAATGTGTGGGGTTAACAAGCCGTCACGACTCAGCTAACTCCCATTTCATTAATAACAAATTAATATTTTTTATTTATTTATTATTTTTAATTAACCTAAAATCAAATAGTTTTAAATAAAACTTTTGATTTTTGTTTGTTTGTTTATTATTACTAAGTGGTCTAAAAATCATCGGACTGTCACAGTCGAAATGATTCTAAAGAATAAAGGAATTAACAAGCTGTCACAACTCAGCTAATTCTTTTAACATATATTTCATGTTATTTTATGATAAACTTAAATGAATTTTGAATCACCAAGCCGTCTCGGCCAAAATGATCCAAAACAAAATCTATGGGATTAACAAACCGTCACGGTTAAATTACCCATGTAAATTTAATATGATAATTTTTATTCAGACATATTGATAAAATCTAAATGGGTTTTACGTCATTATTAGTATAATGTAAAGAAGAGATGAATTGAGAAATTTGCAATGTTCTTTCATGAATGTGCAGACCAAAAAGATGAAGCTAATATATATTATTAAAATATTCCAATCATGTTATAATAAGACAAAGTACCATGTTATCACTATTATTATAATTTGAAAAAAATATGAATTGAAAAAAAAAAGGCAAAGTTGTTTCGTAAGATGCAAACCAAAAAGATGAAGCTAATGTATATTATTAAAATATTTCAATGTTACTTTCAATAGAATGGATGATGCCCCACTTGTACATATTTTTTACTAAAACAAAATGACTAATCGACAAGTATGCTTTGTGAGAATTGTGAATGCACAGGGACATAAGCCACATAACATGATGCATGCTATTTTGCGGTATCAAAATGTTTCTTTCCTGATGATCAAAGCTAGATCTCATATTAAAATATTATATTAAATCTTTGAAGCATGGCAACATTGCATCTCAGTATATGTTCATTAGTAAACAACAAGACTATATCCGCGAGCGTGCTTCTTGCATGCATGTGATATTTCCTAACAGTATTATTTAAATCATGCTTTTAGCCTTTAACGTTTCTGATAACTCCAGAAAAATATTGCAACCTTAATCAAATCTATCATACATCACAAAGACAACAGCTAATACAGGACATAAACTTACGCACCTGAATTAACACATAGCCTCCAGTCCCCAAGCACGCGAGACCTTCACGATGGTGATGACAAAACGGTCTGTGAATCTTAAGAGATGAAGCCCAGCAAGGGACAATATTCTGGTGCTGCTTACAGCGCTGGATGAAGCTAATTAGGCAGCAGTCTCCCTCCCTTGTTAGCGAGACTTGCAGTGGGTAAACTAACAGGTAGTAACTGATATAAGCTCTTCAAAAAAATGTATTGATCTTGGGTTGGCCATCAAGATTATGGTGAGAGTTCAAGATGAGAGATGAAGATCAAATTTGTATCTGGTTTTATGCATCTAGGTGAATGACCATGGAAAAAGGAATCGGTCCTCTCTCTTTTTTCTGTTCATTTTTCTTTTAAAAACCTCTCTTCTCTCTCTCCGTTCTCTCCTTTTTATTGATCCTCTAGTATTTATAGAGTGATCCAAAAGATTTCTTCGCAAGAGGGTTTTCTGCACCTCTTCTTTTTTTCAAATTATGCAGGCTTTCTCATTCAACAGTGCGGCGCCTCTGCTTTGCTTTATGGCCCTTCTTCCACCGCCTCAAGCTCTACTTTATATAGCCCCTATGCTTTCTTTCCTTCTTTATTTTTTATTTTTTAAATAACCCAACAATTTGGCTATTAGATACAGATAACAAGTGGATTTATTGAAACTTAATGATGAGTGATGGGTGGAAAGCAGTATCAACGTTTCCTTTTCATTAAGAAACCTATATTACTATCATTATGATTATTATTTTTTAAATAAATAACAAAAATCTGGACTCTCTTTTTTTTATCAATATCTCTCTCTTTTTACTTAATTTCTTTTTACTCTTTTTTTTATTCTTTATTTTCCTTCATTTATTTTTCTTTTTTTCTTTTTTTTTCTTATAGAAAACAAAAAAATAAATAATAATCATAATAATATACTCCAAAATAAAATGTTCACATTTTAATTTTTTTAATTTTTTTTTTACGTGTGAGGACAAAATTGAGTGGTTACAATAACCAAATACATATCTTTTAATATTGTAATATTTGTATTATGTACTTGTAAGATAAAATATTAAAAATAATTTATTATTCACATCCATATTATACGTACATTACATGATCTTTATATAATTTGTTATTTAATTACAATTTTTACATACTTTCGCTGTAACTCTGTTATTTTATTTTTTTGATAACATATTTTATTTTAATGTAAGAGGAGTGAGATATATCAACTACAACAAACATTTTGAATATCCAATCCAAGGGAAAAGTGTGTATCATTTTAAAGGATGTAAATGTGTCATTTTAAGTGAGAGAAAGAGATAAATAAAGGAGGAGAGAGTGGACAAAAAAATATAAAGGTATGGGTTCCACCTCTTTGTGAGAGTGAAAGGATATAAGTTGTGTCATTTAAAAGGAAAAACTATTTCCCCCCAATCCAATACCTAAATCTTATCAAATATGAGAATGAGAATATATGCAAGAAATAAAATTATTTCATGCATACATGCATAGAAAAGTAAATGAAACACACTAAGGAGAAATAAAAGAAAAAAAAATTAAATGGATCTTACCAACTTTTTTATATGTATTTGAGACAAATTTATCTCAACAATTTGAGAAATTATATTCCCATAAAATATATACATACCATGTACGTTTACTTGAACTCAAATAAAGCAAGAGAAAAATGTTTGTTTTTTTAAAGGATATATAATTGTGTCATTTTAAGTGATAAAAAGACATAATCTAGTATTTTTTTATTTAAAATTTAAATTTTAAGAAAAGTACTCACTTTCAACTCATGTTTTTCATTGCTTGTATTTTTTTGTCATTTAAAATGACACAATTCTATATCCCTTGAAAGAACAAACACTAAAACCATATAGCAATATACAACTATCTTTAAAATTGTCCACATTTCTACTATTTTTTTTTTTTTTGATAACATACATTTCTACTATTTTATGTTATTAGTTAGTTCGTACACCGTTATGGTGTGCCGACAAAAAATAAAACAAACTTTTCTTTTTCCTTTAATTTTTTATTTGTTGATATTCCTTAATTATCATCTTTCTTTCTTTCTTTCGTATAACATATTAATCAAACAATATTTTGAAGGTATCGTAAAATAGTTATTATATTTTTATTCTTAAATATAAAATTTAACTCAAGAGTTATTGATCTAGTGACATCCCAACCAAATCTTAGGAATTAATAATTATGGAGAATCCCAGTTCATAGAAAAATGGGAAACTCAAATTCAAAATCAGATTAGTGAGAGCTATTAGAATTTCGGATACGGGTTGATAATTACCAATATAAGAATAATATTTTTCATGTCGTAAGAAAAAAATTATTTTCTGCATACATACTTTTGTGGTCATGTGAAGAGAAGATAGACAAAAAAAAACATGGGTCTCACACTCTTTTATAAATATGTAGGAGATAAAATTATCTCTTACAATATAAGAAACACTAATCCCATATATATATATATGAAAAATATCTTTCTCATGTTATATGAGAAACCTTATCTCATGTTATACACACATC